CTACTTGCAGAGAGAGCCTCCTTTTTGTACATATGTACAGCTAATTTTTGTACATATGTACAGCTAAGCTTCTACAGGTCGAGCGCCGGTCTTCTATTTGTACGTACAGAGAGCAGTCCCTACTGTTACAGAGGGCCTCCTTTTTGTCTAGGGGGCCTCCTATTGGTTAATGGCGCCTCCTATTTGTCCAAGGGGCCTCCTATTCGTCTAGGGAGCCTCCTATTTGTACAGGAGGCCTCCTGTTTGTCCAGGTCCCCTATTTATCCAGGGGGCTTCTATTTTCCAGGGGGCTTCCTCTTTATCCAGGGGGCCTCCTACGTGTTCAGGGGCCTCCTATTTGTCCAGGGGCCTCCGATTTATCCAGGGGTCTTCTATTCGACCAGGGGTCTCATATTTGTGCAGGGGTCTCCTACTTGTCCAGGGGCCTCCTTTTTTGAAGCGCCTCCTTTTTATTAAGGGAGCCTTTTATTTGTCCAGGGGCCTTCTATTCGTACAGAGGGCTTCTAGCTCCTACTTGTCCATGGGGCCTCCTATTTGTTCAAGATGCCCCTACTTGTTCAGGGGGCCTCCTATTTGTCCAGGGGGCCTCCTATTAGTTAAAGTAGCCTCTTATTTTCCAAGCGGCCTCCTATTTATCCAGAGGGCCCCTATTCCTATTTTAGGGGGCCTCCACTTTATCCAGGGGACCTCCTTCTTGTTCAGGGGGCCTCCTATTTATCCAGGGGCCTCCTAATTGTCCAGGGGGCCTCCTTTTGTGAAAGTGGCCTCCTGTTTGTCTAGGTCTAGGGCCTCCTATTTATCCAGGGGGCTTCCTATTTTTCCAGGGGGCTTGCTATTTGTACAGAGGGCCTCCTACTTGTCCATGGGGCCTCCTATTTGTTCAAGGGGCTTCTTATTTGTACATAGGGCCTCCTATTTGTCCATGGGACCTCCTATTTGTCTAGGGGCTTCTTATTTGTCTAGGGCCTCCTATTTGTCCAGGAGGCCTCCTGCTTGTCCAGAGAGCCTCCTATTTCTCCAGGGGGCCTCCTGTTTTCCGGAGGGCCTCCTACTTGTTCAGGGGGCCTCCTACTTGTTCAGGGGGCCTCCTATTTGTCCAGGGGGCCTCCGATTTGTCCAAGGGGCCTCCTATTTATAGAGAACCTTCTAGAGAACTTTCTATATGAACATCGGACCTCCGTTTGTAAAGTACCTTGTGCGTCTCGGGGGCCTCCACTATTGGGGTCCCAAAATGACAATTGGGGTCCCAAATGTTCGCTTTGGGGTCCCACATGGGACCTCAAAAGCATACAAAGTTACACCCATGCCCCGGGTCATGGTTCATTTCCCAATTTAACCGCCGTCCTGTCATACCCATTCCGTCATCCGCTCTGGCATCCCATTGATGAAGATGTCCAGAGTATCCGCGCTAATGTTCAGCCACACTTCTCACAGGTTCTTCTGAAGTCCGTTTTCTGTGGTACCTAGCTGGTTTTATCTTGCTGAGCTCGTCCTTCATGATTCCCCAGATGTTTTCGATTGGGATTGGGGACAGAGGATGCGATTCGATTCGATTGCCTCCTTCATTCAGCCTTCACCATAATTTTAGCGCGATATGACGCTTTGCCAAAGAGTGTTCTTTCGCCATAGTAGACACCACCTTCAGGTGTGAGTTACGCCTGTTAAACACTGGCCCCCATGGCGCCTCTCAAGTGTCAAGGTCAGGTAACCGCGGTAGGTCATGTGACTAACGGATAGCTGTGGATAGCCTGAGGCTGGAGGCACGGCCTCAGCAAATTTCAAACAGTTCTGTAAGCGCACGGTGAGATTTTAGCTGAATAAACAACGGGCAATAATTTCCGAACACTCTTTAAGGTGACCACACGACCACGTCTGACGGCCTGAGCGAGCATTTCTACAGCAGGCAATATGTGGAATCATAGACCTCTGTGAGGTCTATGGTGGAATACAAAGCAATTGGTTAAACAGTAACCAGCCATGACAGACATGACTCTGACCAGCCAACCCCAAAGTGTTAATAAATGCAACTTAAAAACAATACGCACGAATACTCTTCATTTACCTACTTAGTTACGTTCTTCGCATTTAAAAGACAAAAGTTAACCGAGGGCACACTCATCCACCACCTTCAAATTACCGGACTAACCCGCGATAGGTCTAACCCACGGCATAACCCTAACCTGACGTGACCGGTTAAAGGAAAAGGGCCACCTTTAACATGGGGATTGAAACTGAGATAGCCATCTTGTAGCCCGTGTCCGAAAACCTATCTGTCTACCTCCTTACGGCCGATTTCGGCCTCCATTCGTAGTTATCGGCAATTTTAAAAGAAAATACGCCAGGAATGCGTTCTTATCCCAGGAATGCGTTCTTATCCGACAATACAGCCACCCGCGGCGAGGCTTTGGTTTTTTACCAATCAGCTCCAACCAGCTCAGCTTTAACCAATCAGCTTATCTGACACAATCCGACGAGTCTGTCTTCTGAACGCTGATTGGCTTGAGTGTGACGTCATCGCTATGCCATCATACAGTAGGTGCCGTAGAGAGTATCAACATAGTACCAATATGTTAAATAGTTTTAAATACTTTTTCGTGAATTGTGCACTTCTGGCACCAGTTTTAAAAAGAAAATGAAAAATAATAATGTCAAAATGAAAAACAACGATATCTTCATATTTCACGAAGGTGGCCCTTTTCCTTTAACGTCCTAAACCCAACAATTCACATTTACCAGACGCAGCCTCCAAAATGAACTCAACGATCCATCCGTGTCTCAACAAGGTTACACGTGACCAAAACAGCACTGTAGTTATAGGTATAAGTGCATGGCAAGGCCGTAGTGCGCATGAACGGTCGGCTGGCCGGTAGCTATGCTGGCGACGTCTATGGAGAAAAACCTTATAACTAACACAAAGTACAGACTAGTGATGTCAATTACAGAAAATCTGAATACCGATACCAAACGAAATACCAACATAAACCGTGAAGAAATACAGATACCGAACCAACTTCATAACATGAGGGAAATACTGACTTTTAACCAATTTCTCAGCCTCTTACACATAGGTGAGGGTTCATAATACCAACAAAATACCAAGTACATTAGGATTGAAATACCAAATACCAAGTTGGTATCGGTTTGGTATCGGTATACCAACAAGTTGGTATCCGATTGACATCTCTAGTACAGACCCATCCAAGCCGTACGCTTTCCTCCGGCGCCATTGAAGCCCAGGACGTCTATTTACGCGGAAGTGTACGCACACATGATTATACAATGCATGTGCGCTCTGCCGCACCTCAACTTTTCCATTATCATTGATACTACACCAAATTACCACAATATTCAATCACATACCTACCGAAACGGATACAATCAGCAATGCTCAGCAAGGTAGCGCGGAAAAAGAGAAATTCACTATTTCAACCGGATTCGTGATAAACATCTTAAATGTCAAAGAGTACATGTTGAGTCTATTCGATCCCTGCAAAACCGGTCAAAACCCGGCTTCATCACTGTGGGAAGAACCGTAGGTGGCGCTGGATGTAGCCAGACTGTAGGCCAGGTCTGGAGTAACAAAGGCGACTGTTGAGCTCGTGCGGAGTAGGGGGAGCCACTGGCCAATGACCATGTTCAGCCGGCACAGCAGTGTGTCAGACAGAGGAAGACACCAGCGAGGGCCTGGTGGCATATAGGGCCTTGGGCCCGGTCTGGAGCACACCGTCCGTCGTTTCCATCCTCAGGACCCTCAGGACATTCAAATCCTTCTCCTCCACGCCGCAACCGGGCAGGGCAGGCAACTTTATCTCATGCGGGCTGCTCCCTTGGAGCGGCACCACTGCTCCCGAGGGAGCGCACCCCGTAGCCGGGTGCAGAGAGTGCTTGGGGGGCTGGTCGGTCTGTCCATTCGGACGGGCTCAGCCCCGGCGACTCTCTAGGGTGCTTGCCCACTGCCCAGACCAATGCCTCCCCCTAATTCCTATTATCCTCCAGGCTCTGAAATGGTCTTGTCAGACCGAATGGGCCTAACCCAATAAAACAAAGAAACAAGTCTGTAGCAACTACGTCCCCATATGCACATACAGTGGGCTTGTGGGGAGAAGCCGAGTGAGGGGAGCCACTGGCAATGTGAAGCTGTGGCGACTGGCGGCAGAGCATTACACGGGGGGACACCAGCGAGACCGGGTACGAGACCCGTCACCACTGACCACTGCCGAATGCCACAACCTTGGGTCCATTTTCACGGTAAACTACAGTTGCATTCGCTCGCTCATCGCTAAAAAGACGCATCGGTAAAGTCACTTAGGCCTAGAGAGTCCCTAAATCCTAATTGCCATATTTAGAAGGCTGGTGTCCTAATAAGTTGCTTCACTTTTTCAGATGAGGGGTAGATGACCGAACTCTGTTGTAATACTCGTATGGTCGCAAAAGTGTTATTTAGACGTTGTTGATGCTTTTTGAAGAAGTTAACTATGTCCCTACAGTCGCTGTGTCCACACTTTGCATAAGAAATTTACGACTTAGCCTTTCTTTATAACGAAGGTCAAATACTTTTAACCCTAAAATGAAGCCAGTAAATACAGAATAAAGGGCCCATCGCATTTGGCGGGATCAATTCGAAGAAAGTTGCACCACATTCGCGTAAGAGCATGAGCTAGCCATGTGACTGGTCGTGGCCATATTGTAGGTCCAAACTACATCTACGAATGCATTGACTCAGCAAAGCCACAAACAGACGCCAACAAAGGGATCACCACAAACTCCGCATCAGCCCTAACATGGCGGCCGAATGACTCGGCAAAACGGGCCGGCATTCGGCCGATGATGTCCAGGAGTGAGGCCCTCGTCTCAGTCCTGCACCCAGTTTTCGGCGAATCATCAAAATTTACCTAAACATTGTCGGGAAAAACAGCGACAGCTACCATGTCTGGCACTGGCTACAGCATCGTCCCAAACAGGAGGCAAATCGAAGGAAGGATTTCCAGTCACACATGCCAAAGCAGTCCCACTTGTATTGACGCATCATTAAACAATAACAAAATATTCGACGTTTCTCTCCATTCCCAGTCAAGCGAACTCAACTGGGCAAAGCGAAGGCATACATGTGTTTGGTCTATATCACTCAGTTGATGAGGTGCACGTGATTATATTAGTTTTCTGCGCACCCGAAGAGGTGGAATTCAGTTAGCTGCGCTGCGCGGCGCCAGCCTGTGGCGCTTGAAGCCACCCTGCCAGTGCCCACCTCACACAGACAGCAAGCCGGGAGGGCGGCGAGCGAGAGAGCAGAGCAGTGGAGGGACGCGGAGAGAGCGAGAGAGCCGCGGTGGATAAGAGTACATCACAGAACATCACACACAGTTCTGGCGAGTCAGCGCCGGTGTCGTTCGTTCGATAGAAAGCGCCGTGCGGCGTTCCCAGAGGCAGCGATGGAGACTTAGAGACTTCACCGGCGGCCGAACGAGTCAAGCCCACCCGCCGGCAAACCATAGACGAGATACGGATAACATTATAAAGACCAGGAATCTTCAGACATCCCTTTAGACTGTCCGATGCACGGCGGCAGGGGCGAAGTGGGGCAGCGGAGCAGGACAGACGCCCGCCGGTGACCCTCTGATCAGACACACCTCAGACACCGACCGGTCCGCTGGGACTTTGCGTCGGCGTCGTCATTCGTCCGATCGTCGGAGCCGACGGCCGGCCGACCGGCCCGCGCGCCCCACCCCTCACCTCCCGGCGACGTCGGCAGTCTAGGAGCGCGTGCACACGTCCTCCGTGCAGGTCACCTTGGGCTTGTCGCCGTCGGCGGCCGGCGGTGGCGACGCCGCGTCTCCACCGGAGATGCCCAGAGCCTGCCGCAAACAGAACGGATGTTAGAACCAGAGTCAGAGGCTGTAAGACTAGACTAGACTGGATAAATCAAATAACGCAGCTGATAAAAAACCCCATTCAGCATTATGATGGCTTCTAGCACTACGGAAGTTCGCAAGCACGTTTAAGTCCACAAGTTTGAGAGCGTGAGATGATGTTTTTCGTACTCCAGCGTAGATGGGTAGCCATACGGCTTCCACGGTTGACAGTGATGACATCAGTCATCTTTTTGCAAACTCGTTAAGCTCACTTCACCAAAGCCTACACCTGAAATGATGTCACTCCCTCTTGTCAACAGACTCAACCCCACACAAATCTGTCACCTTCCTCCCTCCCCTCCCCAATGATCCCAGCCAGCCCCCGGCAGCCGGCGTGTTATCGGGCTGTAATGTCACTGGTGACTGAGCGTGCAGCTGATTGTGCCGCCCGATAACATCTCTATTCTCTCTATCTGACGCGGACAGGGAACGGGCACTTCCACAGACAGAACGACTGCTGCCACGTGGGTAGGGTGTGGTCGAGCGCAAGGCGGGGTTAGCGTAGGGGCAAAGTCTAAGGTAAAATATAAAGGAACATTCGTATGCAGCTGATCGCAGTAAAAAACAAAAATAAAGAGAAAAGACTAAGAACATTCAAGCGCGACTGACAAGAAAAGGTATTACTTAGGTCATTCCACTCGGACAGCTTTTAGGAAAGAACGCTGTTCATTTTACCCTCCCAGCCCTCAAACATTACTGTTGCCGGGAGAAATGGCCAGCGATTGCGCGGAATTCACAAACACTGTGTTATTGATTCTATCGAACGCTCCAGAGTAGTGGACGCCAGCTCAAACAGCGCTGGCTCCATACTGTTGGCAGCCGGGGCCAGATTGAACTTTGGACACGGTCGTCAGCGAAAGCTGCCGTGACTGGCGAAAAGCGCCCGCAGTTTCGACAATCCGCCGCGGCGTGATCATTCCGATGAGTAATCCACACATGGAAAAGTTACGTAACCTGTAGCAAATCTGTGTGCACTTTGAGCGTCTTCTGTTTCACGTACGACGTTCAGTTTCGTACCACAGCACAGAGGATTGTAAAATGTGGTGTGATACCGTTATCAGGCCTAGCTACGATCGAACTAACTATACAGCGCACGTGGCGAAGCGTCAGCACGCATTGACTCGTGAGCGATAATGGTAGGCCACGGCCATTCGTAAGAAACGCAAAATCAAATCATCCCGCAAGCCTGGCATCGATGTTAACATATCTGGCATACTTTTGCAGTAGCGTAGCGTCAGCCGAGCATTTCAGAAAGCGCACCAGCAATCAATACAAGTTTTCTGACGTTCACTGCTGGCCGCTGGGGCTTACATAAGAATACCACGGGGGCCCGCGACGGTCAGCTCCTCAGTCGATTCCCAGCACCTGTAACCGAGCCACCACCCTGTAACGCGCCGTCCTCCACTGCCCGCGGAGTCTGGCGGGGCGGGGCGATTGCTCAGCACCCACCGCCGGCCGGCCGGTCAGCCATGACGCCAGGCCACGGAGCCGGTGCGTGCCCCCGGGGTCGGGAGGAGACCGACCGGCCGGCGGCCCGGCCACTCTCCCAACACGGACACAAACGTGGACAGGCGGTGCCGCAGGGATGAAACAGACAACAGGATGGTCAACAGGATGGTCCTGTAGGTTAACAGGATGGTTTGAGGTTCGCACTTACCGTAAAAAATAACTACTTACACACAAAACAAATGCACATTTCCGTTCGTGTTCAACAGGTTGATCTAACATTGCACCTTTCCGTACCCTTATGACCATTCACAAACCAACAATAATACCTTTTGTGCTCCACACTGCTCATTTCACAGATCATCCGATGTAACCACGCAACTGACCTTGAGAATGGCACTGTTCTCGACGTGGTCGGCCGGGCCGTCCTGCTTGAACTGCAGCAGCGTCTCGGTGCCGCCCTTATTGACCACGATCGTGCCGCCCATCAGGAAGCCGTCGCCCTTCAGGTTTCCGGAGATCGACATCGTCTTGGCCTGCCGGCGAGAGACCGCCGGCGACCGGTCAGGACGGCATGGCGGATAATATTACGGATCGAGCAGTTACATCGCATACAACTATAAAAACCCCGATGGAAAAGGTTTTCATCAAAGATGCGTAACATAGCGATAGCCGATATCCCCGGTGACAGTCGTACTACAGCACGTGCCAGTTACGTAGCGCGCGAACAAAAGTGCGAGTCCTCATGCGACAGTGAACACGTCCAATATCCAAATTACTTGTCATGCGCCAATACGGACGTAACTACTTTGACGTCACCAGCAGCTCTTACCCGGCTGGTGGCGTCGCGTCCCTTCTTGCCGAACACACTGGGCCAGATGCTGAAGTAGCTGTGGCGCTTCATATTCATCTCCTTGTAGCTCTCCTGTTTCAGGTCAATGAAGAGGTCTGAAAATGGCCGATAGAACAACGCTTTTGATAGCGACCAACCAAGAAGCTCTGAAAATTACCGTTTCAGACTCAAAATGTTTGCTTTCAGTTGGGCTTCCCTGGCTCCAATTCCCTCATACCAAATAACTTCAGATCTGTAAACCAGGACCATTCCACCCTCCCTGTCTCCCTCCCCATCCAGCCAAACATCCTGAGACCAATATACCATCCCTCAACAAACACCCAAGGCCACACTCTGCTTCTTCCAGTACCCTTTACCCAAATGAAACCATCCAACCCAAACCCAGTTCTCAAACAGTTCCAGTCCCCCTCATGCTGAGGTCCGACTTACCTCCGGAGAAATACTGTCCTTCAACAAACTCCTCCACACCGAGCTCCTCGAGACCGACGCCCACCAGGCGGACGCCGTTCTCCTTGAGCTGGGGGTGCAAGGCACTCAGGTCCTTGGCCCCCAGCCGACAGAACACTCATCCGAAGCGGCGCAGGAAGGTCACCACAGTGGGCTGGTCAGCCCACAGTGAGCCCAGCGTCACCGTCTGCAGCAAAGGGAGGGGGGAGGGGTTTTGATGCCTGAACCTACAGCAGGTCATACAGAGATGTGATCAATCTCTGTATGACCACCACCAGCTCAAGGAGGTGGTGGAAGGAGGTCTTACAGTTTGCTAATGCCACCATTATCATGCACTTTTGCTATAGCAATAACAAACTTAAATCAGGCAGCACAATGAACTGTTAAATCAAAAAAAGCTTACTAACCTCCCCCGTGGCGACACTCTTCAGCTGTGTAGCAGCAAGTTTTGAAAGATTCATGTTTAAATCTTTTGGTTCACTATCACCAGCTAAAAGATATGCAAGAATAAGGCAGCCAGCTACCCCGGCACTCAGACGGGCCGTGCCAGAACGGAACAGCCTGCTTATGTAACAGGTCAAGGTGCGAGGAGACTGAGAAGGCCCAGAAGACTCCAGGATTCGCGGAGTTCGCGCGCTTTGCGCCCAAGCGTGTAAACACAAAACCCTCTTTCCACCAAGAACGGCCTATCCTCTTCCTCCGGAACCCGAAAGTAAAATGCCGCCGCCCCCTTAGGTCTCCTCTGACAACACCTCGTCCACGGTATATAGAGAACTACCTCGTCCCAAGCCCCGTGCCAAAAATTTCATCTAGGAAAGTCATTTCAAGGAACAGCCGAAAACAAAAGTCCTGCATTTTGGTGACGTCAATATTTTCAAGGAAGCTGCCTTTTTTGTAAGTGAAAAAAGTAACAGTACTACGTGAGTAAGCCCAGATTTCTAGCGAAATTTGTCGATTAAAAATCACATCTGAATATTTTCGAAATCGAATGTTTCAGAGTTCCGTTGCCTATGGCAGAAGTATGACAAAACAAGTCTGGTTTTATGACGTCATTTTTTATGCCAAATCATAAGAGGATGGAGAACAGAACAATAAACAACATTTTATTCAATTCTAGCGCACATCATTTTGGCGCCACTTCGTTGTGTAATGACGAAGTTCTAATTATGTTAAAAACTTAATTAATATCGCTTCTACTACATATAAATAACTTTGCTTTTTATGCACTGTGGTTAAGGCAAAGTACTGCAAAAAGCAAGGCTGTGCTTTTGGTGTTTTCAATTGGAGTCTTGATGAAATCCCTCTTTTTGCACCCTAGGGTCAAAATTGAATAAAAACCACACCATATTGTCACTAAGTACAAACCACATATCAATGTAAAAAATTGGGTAGTTATAAATCAGGTGTTGCACTTTTTTTGCAGCCTGAGCCAAGGAGAGGTGCTATACCCGGAGATTGAGATGCTCATGTAAGTGAAGTTGTAGGTTAGGTTGTAGGTTGGGCAACGTTAGGTTTGTTTTGGTTTGGTTTGGTTTGGTCTGGTTTAGTTAGAAGGAAACATCTTCATTCTCCGGTTATAACATGTCTCCTTGTTTGCAAAGAAGTGTGATGCCTGATTTTCTACTACCAAAAACTGTTCATATGATTATTTAATGCTTGGAAAATAGGGTAGGTACACTACATCAGAAATATCAAATCCTAACAAACCTAACCTAACCTTACCTGATGTAACATAAGCTTATCTGATCCTAAGTGTGGTTGGTCTAAACCTATAAAATGTTTTGGCGAAAAGTATTATAAGTTTCAATATGTTGTCTGGGTTCTGATTTTGCAACCTTGAAGGATGTTTTCTTTCTACTCATGTTTTGTGTTGTGAATTTCTTCAGTTTTTAAATGGTGCAAAAGGAGGAAATCACCAGAGTCCTTGAGCCACCACACAGTATGTAGTTACCAATGTGCCTGTTATCTCCTTACTAATGCCATTTACTCTTTTCTCAGTTTTGTGACCACCACCCACTGATTTAACATTTTGGGGGTGTCACTGGCAAGGAGTAAAGGCACTGTCCAGCAAGAGCACACTGTGAGTCTGTCACCTACCATTGTGTGCTGTCATGGATCCTGCTGAACGTGCCCGGCTTGTCCAAGAGGCAATGCTGGTAAGTACATTTAGGAGTCGGTGGTAAATTAGGAGTAAACCTTCCTGATGCCTCAGGGAAGCTAACAATTCCAATTCAGCTAGTGGCCATTCTTCATGCATGTTTTGTTTTAAATTATAGGTATTTTCTTTTATGGATAGGTATTTAAGATGACTTAAGCTGCACTAGCTTCCAGCTGAAAATGATTAACCTAGCCACATGCAGACAAACATTCTTTAAAATGTACCATCACTGTTAGTGATATCTCAGAGGTTTAATTTCTCCACTAAGCTCATCTCTTAAGCCAGATACATTACGTTTCAGTATATTTTCATTAATGTGCTCCATGCATGATGTGCTCAGCTCCATGTGTTACCTGTGCTCCATGTGCTGGTATGGTGCTTAAGCATAGCAAGCATGTGCTGATGATGTTACACTTCATCAGGTTAATGATTTAAAACTTCAGAGAGCATATACATTATACATAGGCATATACTTCCTATAGCAACTACCTATGTCAATAGTTAATCTGTTCCTGGATCTCTTATTGATCTTCTCATATTCTGTTGTCAGGAGTACGAGATTCGTCAGAGCATATCCATCTGTGGCCTGAGCGACAACCCAGCAGTCGATTTGTCCTCGTCGAGGCTCAGCAAGAGGCTGGCCATTCTGCAAGGGAATCCATTCGCACAGCGGTCACCGGAAGTCTGCATCGCACCGAAGCCGCCAGGGGCTTCGCCTCCGGAGCCGCGGGTTGACTTGCCCCCGGAGCCGCAAGCGGATTCGCCCCCGAAGCTGCGGGTGGATTCGCCTCCGATCCATCCGCCGGCGGATCCGCGCGGCGGCCGGTCTCGGGTCGGGCGACCGCGCAAGTACCGGCGCCCGTTCCCTCCCCGGAGGCAGCGCGAAGCCACTCCCGATCAGCCGGCCGACCTGCCGAGTGCCGAACGACAGGAGGTCCCTCGCAGCCGCGGTCGCGTTGGCCGGCCCCGCAAACGGCGCCCTCCCCCTCCCCCTCGCATGGAGCGGCGCGAGGCTTCTGTCGACCCGCCGAGCGACCCGCCGGGCGCCGTCGGCCGAGGCGTGCCGCGCGGTCGTGGTCGACCCCGCGGTCGGCCGCGCAAGCGCTTCGGACGAGAATGGGGGTTTATGATGCGCAGAGCGGCCGACGCGGACGCGGCTAACCGAAACGGGGACGACTACAGTGCCGGAGGCGGCCGCAGCAGCCCCGACGGAGCTCTCGGCCGACCCGACCCGACCGACCCGCCGAGCGCCCTGGGTCGGGGTGTGCCCCGCGGCCGTGGTCGGCCCCGCGGTCGCCCGCGCAAGCGTCGCTTTGATGAACAGTTGGCGATGGCGCGCAAAGCGATCGCGGCTAACCGGAGCAGAAACGATGATGGTGACGGAGGCGACCACAGCAGCCCTGACGTAGCGGCGCCGGGTCGCCAGCGCCAGGCCAGATCGGCGGCGAAGAGGTGTCTCAAACGTCTGCATCGCGGCGCGCAGAAGGCTTTCAGGGACACACAAGATAGTGCCGATGAGAGCGTCAGCGGAGGCATGAACGTGAACGCTGCGCGGGATGCTAAGCGTCTGAAATTAGATGACTCGGACAGACATTCAGAACAATCAGAGTCAGACAGTGCCGGAGCAGATGAGGTGACTCTGAGTGAACCGGAGGACGACTCGATGGTGACGGTGTTTCCGTGTGTGCAGGTGGTGCATGGGGACCCGGAGACCAGCTCGCAGGCCGACACTGTGACGTTGAACGGGCCGGAGGGCGGTTCGGACACCGGGTCTCCGGTAGGGGACCCCAGCTCTGTGCGGGTGTCCAGCGGTTCCAACTGTGAGCTGCGCCCCTCGCCGCCGGCGCAGTCCGCTCCGCCGACTCGCCGCATAGTGGTGTACCGGTCCGGGACGCATCTGGCTGCTCGTGAGCAGAAGCCTCTACCTCAACTGGCCCCTCGACCGGTGTCCCGTTATATGCCAGCGCCCGGCTCTGTGCCTGTCAGTCAGCTCCAGCCGGGTGCTCGCACGGTCGTGGTGCGTTACCGCGGCGGTGCGACGGCATCGGATATTGGCGCCCCCAGGCGAGTGGTTGTAAAGCGATTTACTCCCCGGAGCCAAGTTGTATACACGCAGGGGGTTAACACCGTCCAGAAGACGCCACAGCTGGTAGTAGGCCTCGCTAACGGACAGCTTCCCTCGGCGCCAGAGCCGTCGGACGGCGGCAGCGCTGATGAGCGTCGGGCGAACCTCTCCTCTGGCGTGGAGCTAGATGACCAGCAACGAAAGGCGCTCTCCGCCGAGGTGAAAAAGTTGCGACTCAAGCTCTCCGAAGAGGAGGCGGCGCTGCACCACGTGCGCGAGAGTCTAAACACGCAGGCAGCCGCCGCCTCCAACCCCCATCCGGACCTGGACGCGCGCTATCCGATGCCGCCGTCGCCTCCGCCGCTGCCTGATGTGGATGACCCCGCGCTGTTCTCAGAGGGGACGAGTCCGGCCGCGCTGCGCCAGCTCCAGCGCCGCCACTGGGAGCTGTACCGGGTGGCGCTGCAGTCGGCGCTGCAGCTGCGGCGCGCTCAACGCAGCGCCGGCCTGGCCCGGCTGGACGCGTACGCCGAGCGGCGTAGGCTGCGACGGCTCTTCACCCCGGCTCAGTGGGACATGGTGCGCCACAACCGCGAGCCCGACCAGTGGTCGGAGCACGACCTCGGCCGCGCCGCGCTGCTGAGGAAATTCTGCGGGGACAAAGGCTACCACTTCCTGCAGTTCGCCTGGGACATGCCTCTTCCGTCCCTGAGCTCACTCCCACCGCAGTCGGGGGAAGCGGCGGTGGAACAGCCGTCACCGGGGGACGTCAAACCGCTGCTGGAAATGAGTCCGCTAATGCTATCCGAAGATGAAATGGAGACGTCGCCACAGCCACCCGACGACCTCAGACCTGAGCTGGATGCGGGCACGATGTTGGAAGTTGAGCTGGATCCCGAGCCACCGTCACTCGAGGACGTAAAACCGACGCCCGATGTGGGACCCGATCTGCAGATGTCGCCACGGTCGTCGGGAGCTAGCTCGCAGGGCGATCCGCTGTCGTTTTCGGGGAGGGAGCGGCAGGTGACGCCACCTCCGCCCATCGGCGTGAAGCTTGGGCTACCGAGGCTGATCCTGACGCCTGTTGATGCACGTAGGTCGCCTCGCATCAGGGTAAAACGTGAGGTGCAGGAGGAGATTTTGTGAGGTCTCCCGTTGCAGTCATGTAGTATTAGGTGAAGCGAGTCCATTGTTTCATCGTTCAAGCATCATTATCATCAGAGCATTGGTCAGTTCATCAGTGCGTTGTGGTTGAGGCGGGGTGCGGGATTGATTTTACATTGCATCAGTAATGGCGCTATCAGAAGCGGGAAGTTGAGAATTTCGATCTCGTCGTGCCAGGCATGAATGTCTAAATTGAACGTGTCTTTTTGTTACAATATATTTGCCATGTTCTGGATTTTTTTTTTTTTTTTTTTTTTTTTGGTCGTAACAATAAGAGAAGAGATTAGTCAACGCTCTTCCAAAGCAGCGTATATGAACGGTGCGACACGCATGTTGTGGTCTTTTTCACTCCTTTGCTTTGTGTTGTACACTCGAGGGCAGATTGATGTTCCACCACTCCGTACCCATCGGGCTCCCATGGCTCAGCACTGGCTGCTGCCAGTGGTGCCTGTCCTCAGCACTGCTCAGCACTGCCTGCCAGTGCCAGTGCTGCCAGTGCTGCCACTGGCAGCAGCCAGTGCTGAGCCATGGGAGCCCGATAGTTAGGGAGTGGTGGAACATCATTCTGCCCCCGAGTGTACTACGTTGGTCCATTTGATAAACGTCACTACTGACATCTAGACATAGTCACTGCAACAATGTCTGCATGTTCTATGGCATCATGACATGTATCCATATATCTCGCTAAAATGCTCTGTTACATTCGTTTTTTCCTTGAAAGAGTTCCTCTAACGTGTGAGGCCCGATGTCTCACGCGTCCAACTCCAAATAAACCAGTGTTCTCGGCGCCAGTATTCGCCCTGTGGTCGGCGATGGCTGGCTTTAGCTTGTAATAAGTTTCCTGTTTCACTCTAGTAATTCAACTGGTCGCCGTACATATGTAAAAGCTGCATCGAAAAGTTGTATGTATCAAGTGCAATTGGTTCAAACACACGTCATCGCTGACGTCTCAGACGGTGTGCCGGCTCTGACCAAACGACAAGCGGTGCTCTGAGGAATACTGGATCGGGATGGATGTTACTTAGTGTCTACCTATCGTATAGGTATACCCGCGGTCATGATTGAGCGCAGGATGCCGATTTTCCAGAACTGTTTGCACGAGAGAGAGAGAGAGAGAGAGAGAGAGAGAGAGAGAGAGAGAGAGAGAGAGAGAGAGAGAGAGAGAGAGAGAGAGAGGGAGGGGGAGGGGAAAGAAGGATAAATGTCATTTCCGGTATAATACGGGCTGATGAAAAGTGAAGGCCGAAGGGTCATTGCCTCGCCTTAGTAAGCCATACTCGTTTCACGTTTGGCTTTCGAACTAATCATCTTTTCCATTACTCACAAACAATGTGCTTACGCCAATCTTCGAACCACATTGTCAAGCGATTGGAGACGCGGATCGTGGATTGAAAACATTGTCAAACAGCACCATCAATCCTCACACCAGAGAAGACCCGAGATTTCTCCAATCCGAGCCGATCCCTCGGCGGTGGCGTGTATGTCAGGGGGGGAGTTCCCGGTGTAATGATCAACCAGCGACCGGCTTTCTCCACGTAAACCAAATGAGCCGTGCGAGATCGAATGGCGCGAGAGGCGAGATGGCGCCAACTATCGCATCGCTGTGATGCCGTGTCTCGGCTTCTGCGGGATTGCGGTCCCCCGATGGACACGTGACCGTCGGTCTCTGGCGAGCTTTCACGGGCTGTTTTGTGCCGGGAGTTGGCAGTGTTCCCGCGAGTGGTAC